TCCCCCTTCTCCCCCTTCTCCCCCTTCTCCCCCTTCTCCCCCTTCTCCCCCCTTCTCCCCCTTCTCCCCTTCTCCCCCTTCTCCCCCTTCTCCCCCTTCTCCCCCTTCTCCCCCTTCTCCCCCTTCTCCCCCTCCCTCTCCCAGGACTGCATAGTGGATTTCCGCAAGCTCATCACCAAGCAGCAGGCGTCAGCAGGGGGAGGCGGCAAGGCCAAGGGGGGGAAGGCAGCGGCAGTACCAAAGGAGGCGCCAAAGATAGCGGTGGGGGTGGTGTTTGTGGCGGAGCAGTACGGCGGGTGGCAGGCGGAGTGCCTTGGGCTGCTGCAGAAGCACTTCGATGCGGAGAAACGGGTGTTTAAGGATGACGCTGGGCTGCTCGATGCCCTTAAAGCCAGCCCTGTCGGCCAGGTGAGGCAGTGGGGGGGAAGGGGAAAAGTATTCTTTCGCAGCAGTACGGCGGGTGGCAGGCGGAGTGCCTTGGGCTGCTGCAGAAGCACTTTGATGCAGAGAAGCGGGTGTTTAACGATGATGCTGGGCTGCTGGACGCCCTTGAAGCTAGTCCTGTTGGCCAGGTGAGACACAAGGGGGAAGAGGGGAAAAGGGCGAACGGGAAGATGTTACAGGTGGTAGAGGGGAATAGGGGGAAGGGAAGAGGGTGATTGGGGATGATGGTGGGGTCTTTATCGCTCTTAAAGCCAGACAGGTGAGACGAGGGGGAAGGAGGAAACCCAGCCTTAAAGCCACGCTCTCATGCCTCTTCCCCCCTCTCCTCCCCTCTGTCCTCCTTTTCCCTCTCCCAATTCACCATCCCTGCCACCATCGCCAGCGCCCGGACTTCAAGAAGCTGATGGGGCAGGGCATGGGGTTCATCCAACACTGATTCACACCCCTACCCCATCTTTCCTCCCTTCACGCTCCCCTTTCCCCTTCTCCCGTTCTCCCATCCCTGCCACGCCCACTGCCAGCGCCCGGACTTCAAGAAGCTGATGGGGCAGTGCATGGGGTTCATCCGATTCAAGAAGGACGCTGCTCTGCTGCACGGCGCTCAGGTCAGTCGTCCCCGGGCCACCCTACTTTCCCATACGCTAGACGCAGTTGACTTGTTGCTCAGAGCTTCATGCTTAACCCAACCCGCAAAAGCAAGCTGCTAATGGGGCAGTGCATGGGGTTCGTCCGGTTCAAGAAGGATGCTGCTCTGCTGCACGGCGCTCAGGTCAGTCGTCCCCGGGCCACCCTACTTTCCCATACGCTAGACACAGTTGACTTGTTGCTCAGAGCTTCATGCTTAACCCAACCCGCAAAAGCAAGCTGCTAATGGGGCAGTGCATGGGGTTCGTCCGGTTCAAGAAGGACGCTGCTCTGCTGCACGGCGCACAGGTCAGTTGCCCTCCACCTTGCTCTCCTTCAAGCTGCACCAGACGTGTTACCCTGCCCCTGCTGCTCAGAACTTTGGTCGTAGCCTCTGTTGCTCAAATGCTCGTATCTTGGAGCAACCTGACTTGGGAAAACGAGCTGCTGACGGGGCAGTCCATGGGTTCGTCCCTATTGCATCTTCCCCATCGCATGCCCTCTCCATACTTCCCCCCTCCCACCCACACCTCATCCCAATAACTCATTCCACCGCATTCCACCACATTCCACTGCTCACCCCGTCAGGCTCTGGACGTGAAGCTGCAGTTTGACGAGGCCAACGTGCTGCGGGAGAATGCTGACCTCATCAAGGTGAGATGCGGTTCCATGCTGACGTCATCCGTGTGATGACGTGGCATCAACGTCCTGATTGGAGCATGTCATTCTGCTGACATCAGCACGTACGGGGTAGGTGCATCATTGTACATTGCAGTGCGTCTCTGCATCGGGCTTGTGCCATGTGAGCAATTTTCGGTGTTCCATGGCTTGTCCTGATTGGAGCACTGTCTCTACATGTGTCTGATCTCTTGCCCTCACTGCATTCCCGTGACATGCCACCCAACAGCGTCAGCTGCAGATGGACCAGTTCTCGGTGTTCCTCACATCAGACTCGGATGCTGTTGCTGCCATTCATGTGCCTAATCCATCTCCCTCTCTTTCTGCATCCCTCTGCATCCTTCTGCATTCATCTTTTGTCTTGTGGCCAACAGCGTCAGCTGCAGCTGGACCAGTTCTCGGTGTTCCTCACATCAGACGCCGATGCCGTTGCTGCCGTCAATCCCAAGGACGCCTCCCGCGTCTCTGCTGCTGTGCCTGGTGAGTTGCACTTGGGTTTAATCCAGGCAGGAGGAAGGGGGGTTGGAAGGGGGGGAGGGAAAAGGGGGGAGGGAAAGAGGTTCCTCACATCACATCAGATGCCGATGCCGTTGCTGCCGTCAAGTCAATTCAAAGGATGCTGCCCGCATCTCTGCCGCTGTTGTGCCAGGTATGTTGCACTTGAGTTGCGTGTAATTCAGGAACGGGGGGAAGGAGGGGGAACGGGGCAGTGAAGGGGGAGGGGGGCGGAGGGAGGAGGGGTGGGGGATGGGGAGTTTGTTCCACAAGGGGAAAAGGGGGAAGAGTGTGTCTGGGGGGAAGAGTGTGTCTGGGGGAAGAGGGGGGTGGGGGGAGGAGGGGGGTTGTTCATCACATGGGACTGTGGGTGGCGTTGGTGGTGTCGATTCCAAGGATGCCGGCCGAGCGCTGCCTACTGTGCCACCCAGGTGGATTCCAGGGTGTTGCACAGGCGTGTGTTGCACAGGCGTGTGCTGCACAGGCGTGTGTTGCACAGGCGTGTGTTGCACAGGCGTGTGTTGCACATGCGTGTGCTGCACAGGCGCCTGTTGCAAAGGCGTGTGCTGCACAGGCGTGTGCTGCACAGGCTTGTGCTGCACAGGCGTGTGCTGCACAGGTGTCTTGTGAGGCTCTTCCATTTATGAGTACTCATTTCTGTTTATTTTACATGGTGTGAGGGAATGTTTTCGTGAGCACGTCTTTCTGGAGGTTCTCAATATGTTTTGGCAAGCTAGAAATTGGAGTTGAGTAAGTTTTTATCCCTCTTTTCTTTCCGATGTGCTCTGCACTACGGCTGTCTGTGATGTTCAGGCTCCCCTGTTGCAATTTTCTCAGCAGCATCTTAGCTTCACGCTGCTGAAATTTTGGAAGCTCCAAGTAATGATCAGTATATCTGACAATTGTTTTGCTCATTTTTTAGCCATGGTAACTGCATTAGAAAGCCTTCTGTCACACTTTTTTTGGCTTGTCAAGTCTCGTCGAAGAACTCAAGGATCACCAGAATATATTGGTTTCACAACATCTGCCGCAAGCAAATAGCGGTATTTACACTACCATGTCCAGCATGTACCAGTATTCACTAACGGTCGCCAAAGTTGGAAATTATGAAATCGTAAAGCAAGCCAATAATCTGCTGTACAGAAAGAAACAATCAAACTATTGTTTTGCGTTTCGCTCTAATCGGTGTCCTGCTGTCAGTCGCAATCCATTGCCAGGCGGCCACTCACTCACTCTCAATTGACCTCTCCGAAACCTTCACGTGGCAATCTGACCCACCTCATTCGTCAGCATGCGCTCATCTTTACGTGGCACCTCCAATCTGTCTCGTCTTCACGAGCCGCCTCACGTGTACTGCTGCAACCCCGAATTTATCCATTTGCAGATAGCTGTTTTGAGCCGAAATATATATCCGCTATGTTGATGTTGGTGGCTTTTCTTTCCTCCCTCTCAATTCCTCACCTCCTGCCAGTTCCCATCCATCCGCCACGCATCCGCAGTTCCTTCGACTGAGTAGTGGATAATTCGAATTCTAGCTTACTGAAGTCGGAAAGGTCTGTTTCAATATCCGTAGTTCTCACCAGGATTAAAGCTTCTGTCTAGTGTCCCGCAATGCAAGGCGTTGATTCCATCCGGCCTGTTCCAGCGGGCCCCGCGGAGGGCTCTCCGCCACTCACTGCGCCCGCGCAAGCGGCGGAAGCCGCCAGCCATGCGATCACGGAAGAACATGCGGGCGCCGCCAGCGGTACGAGCGCGGATGGTAGCGCCCCCGCGACTGGCGGAAGAGGGGGCAGACAACGGCGGCAGCGGGGCGGCAGAGCGCGCGGAGGGGGCCGGGCGGGCGGAGAGAACGGGCGCGGCGACGCGCCCAGCCATGTCGGCGGAAATGCTGAGGTCAACGGCGGAGACGGCGGAGACGTAGCTGCGGGTGGGGGCGGGGGCGGGGGAGGGTGCGGAGTTATGGGGGGAGGCGTGGCGGGTAGCAGCGGCGGTGGGGGCGGGGGCGGCGCGCAGTGTTCGTGCGTGTCGTTTTCCCCCGAGATGCAACGCGCGTTCTTCGAGCTGCACGCGCTGCGGCTGGGCACGGACAAGGCGACGTACGGCGACACGCTGGAATGGCTGCTGAACGCCGCGAAACCCGCTATCGAGCAGCTTAAAACGGGGACGGGCGGAGCGGCGGGAGGGGTGGGAACTGGGGGAGGGGGGGCTCGTTCCGGCAAAAGCAAGAAGAAGAGAAACAACCGCAACCGCCGCAAACAAGGGCAGATGGGGTATCAGCAGGGCGCGGAAGGGGGAGCGGATGGGGGAGCGGAGGGGGGAGCGGCGGGGGGAGCGGAGGGGTGAGCGGAGGGGGGAGCGGCGGGGGGGGCGGGAGGAGCGGGAGGGGCCGTGGGAGGGGGAATGGGAGGGGGGGAGGGAGGGGGAGTGGGAGGAGCAGTCGGGGGAGCAACAGGATGAGGAGAGGGAGTGGTACGGTGAAGAGTAATGGGAGGAAGGGCAGCAGCAGTGTGTTGCTGTTGTGTGTGGTGCATCTGCGTGTGCTGGTGTGGTGGGTGGATGCAACAGGGAAGCGTGAATCGCGCATTCGGGAGCACCGAATGAAGATGTTAGTGACGTGGCAGCACCAGCTCCTTAAGTGGACACGAGTGAGCACAGTTTGGCTCGAGTTGGCATGGGTTGGTATGAGTTGAGTTGAATTGGGATGCTTAAACCCTCAAGACTTTGGTGTTAATGGGTTAGCAGCAGCAGCAGCAGCAGCAGGAGCACACAATACTCTAGGGTGTCTCGGTCGGTTGGTAGCATTAGAAAAAAAGCATTACGGTACCGGTATTTTTCTTTCTCTTCTCTTGGGTGTTGTGGTTGGAGTTTGGAAACAACAGCTTGTGTGTGAGTAGGGTGTGCCTGTGTGCTGTGAGGTACCATCCCAGCTTGGTTCCCTTTCAGCTTCCCTTCCACCAGCCTAGTGTGGGGTAATGGACACCTTGGAAGTGGGGTGGTCACCTATCTGATCAGAGCTACGGTAGTACTTACAGTAGTACGCTGTAAAGCAATGTTTTTGTTGCACATACCGTAGGTGCTGAATTAAACACCAATGCACTCCCAATCCACAACTCCTCGCCCTTACCAAAACGGCATCACAGCATCACCACCATCTGGTGCACGAGTCAACTAGACATCACTCACTGCAATCAGTACCCTTGTGTTACCATAAGAAACACAGCCAACGTTACAGCACCGGGTGCCTGCCTGACACAGTACACTCGCTCGCATGAGATAGGATATACTGCAACACCTAATAAAGTGGACGTTTCCATGTAACTTCGGGCTTCACCTAAGGCCAACAGCATTTGATGCCCCTTGCCTAACCACCACCTCCGCCACCCACCACTCCCATCACTCCCATCACTGCACCAAGTGTTTGACACCAGGCAGCACCATCCCCGGCTTCACTGCCCCATAGCTCAACGGCTTTACCACGCCCCTCACCACTGCCATCACTGCTCCATCCTCCCCATCACTAAACTGACTGCCCCACACCCATCACACCCATCACACCCACCACTCCCATCACTGCACCAAGTGTTTGACACCAGGCAGCACCATCCCTGGCTTCACTGCCCCATGGCTCAACGGCTTGACCACCCCTCTCACAGTGATCACTGCCCCCTCCTCCCCATCCCCTCCCCCCCGGCCCACCCTCCACTCCCTCTTCTTGCTTCTCGCTTGCTTCTTCTGCTTCTTATGCTCTGCCTTCGCCGGTTGCTGCTGCCTCCTCCCCCCTCCGCCTCCCAGCCCTGCCCCAGCAGCACCAGCAGTGGCGCTGCCACTGCTTGAGGCGTTTCTTCCCCTGCTTACCCCATCCTCGTTATAGTCAGCATCACCAAGAGCATCGCCAGCAGCAGCAGCAGCAGCAGCGGCGGCCTGCTGGGCCTCTTCCAGAGCCATACCTCCGAAATGCTCCAAGTCCACTGCGTCTAGAACCAGAAATTCCCCTTCCTCTCCTTCTCCCTCTCCCTCCCCCTCTCCTCCTCTTCCTGCTCCTGTGCCCAACCAAAACTTGTCGCTAAAACTGTCTTCAGGGCAGCCTGGGGGCAGCTCGAAATGCGGCAGCTTCCCACTCAAATAGTCCTTCAAAATAATTCGGGCTGCCCGAGTTTCATCGGGTAGCCCAGAAGAAACCACATGCCCTCTTGACCGAGCATAGGCCTTAAGAAGCTCTGCTGCCTTTGGTGGTCTGTCGGCTCTTTCATGGGCAGCTGGTGGCGGAAAGGTCAGCCCATAAATCTTTTCAAGGGCTGCCCGCGGAACTTTTCGGGCAACCACATCAACAGGCCCTCTTTGATCCGTGATTCGGTCAACGGGCAGCACACCAGCAGCCACCATTTCTGACCGCCCGGAAGCAAACGACGGAAAAACCAGCCCCGGGCAGTCGCAGAGCATCAGCGAGTCCGACACCGGCAGCGTCTGGAAATGTTTCGTCTTGCCCGGAGTTGACGTAACACCAGTGCGTTTGGAACCAACAAGAGCGTTGATAGTAGAGCTCTTACCCACGTTAGGGTATCCCACAAATCCAACCACCACCCTCTCCTGCCCGTCCTTCTGCCCGTCTTTTTGCTTTTCTTTTCTTCCCCAGCTGCTCCTCCTGCTGAAGCAGCAGCAGGAGCCACAACAGCAGCAGCACCACCATCCGAAGCAGCACCAGCAGCAGCAATGGCGGTAGCCTTTGCCTCGAGTAGCCGCAACAGGCTGTCCCTACCATGTATCTTCACATCCGCTTTCGTCACCCTCACCCTCTCCCTCACCTTCCCCTCAACACTCCCAACTCCCTCTTGGTCCTTCTCACTGCCTTCGCCTGCTTCCCCACCCTCCCCCTCCCCAGCCTCCTCCTCCTCCTCATCCTCCCCCTCCCCGTCCTCTGCCTCCTCCCACTCACCCTCACTCTCATCCTCCTCCCCCTCCTCTCCCTCCTCCTCTTCCCCTTCCTCCTCATCCTCCTCCTCCTCTTCCTCCCCCCCATCCACCCCCTCAGCAGCGGCCTTAGCAGACCAGAAAGCAAACTCAACGCCCTGCCCTTTCAGCCACTCTGCCCACAGCCGCCGCACACCAGCAGGCAGCAGATCCGCCTTGTTCAGCAGCAGCAGCGTGCGGCTCAGCAAACCCTCCTCTCTGCGGCTGCGCACACTCCCTGACGAGCCCTCCTCTCTCGCCCCGCTGCTGCTCTGCTCAGTCAACTCCCTGCCGCTCTCATCTTTCAAGTTGCTGCTGCTGGTGCCACCGCCGCCGCTGCCGCTGCTGCTGGTGCCACCGCCGCCGCCGCCGCTGCTGGTGCTCTCGTTACTGTGTTTGGGTCCCCCTCCCAGCTCATGCACGTAGGCTTCCAAGTCAGTGCAGCGATAGAAGAGAGGGTCGCGGCTGTCCACCACGGTTACCACCTGGTAACAAAGTTACAGTGGAGGATATCATGGTCATGAATGCGATACCCCTGGAAACAATATGGTTACTAACATAGCTCAATAAAAGGGGCAAGGTTTGAATTCTTGCAACAACTGAAGGCAAAAGCATGCATGCATGACCCTACACCCACAATGACTAGGCTAATGACCAGGTAACCACATACCACTGGTAACCAAGAAACCACTCGATAATAGAAAACCAGATAACCCCTTAGTAACTGGTAACCAGGTAACTACCCACTCGTGACCTCCCAGGACCTGGTAACCGGGTAACCACTGACTCACCAGGTGGCTTCTCTCCAGCACTCGCCACAGCTGGCGCCAGATATCAAGGTTCTTCTCAAATGGAGTTACCACCAGATGGTTGTTCTCCTCCACCCTGCCACATAGTCACCCCACATTCGTTACAGTCACTTGTGATAACAGTCAAATGGTGACACGCAGAATGTGATTGTACATGATCATGCGACATTCACAAACACCCCACTGCTCTCCCCCTTCCTCCTTCCCCCACCGCCCTCCCCCTTCCCCCAACCCCACTCCCCTCCACCTTCCCATCCACCTGTCCCCTCCTTCCCTCCCCCTATTCCCCTCCCCTCCATCCCCTCCCCATCCCCCCCCTTATTAAACACCTCCACTCCTCCCTCACTCACGCCGAGAGTGAACGCCTCCACTCCAAAAAAGCCGCCTTCTCACTAGCGTCCAGTTCTGCTGACGTCATTCTCGCACTCCACTTGGGCCTGGGGTCAGGGAAGTGAGAGGGGCAGAGGGGGAAGCACATGGGGGCGGATGGGGGCGGGTGGGGGACGGATTGGGGGGGGGGGGGGTTGTGGGGGACAGATGTGAGGGGGGGTGGGGGACGGATGTGAGGCGGATGGGGGGAAGATGGGGGTGTGGGAACACAAGGTTAGGAGCGCATAGGGCGGCAGAGGCACAGACAGACCCGTGGAAGGGAGAAAAGTGATTCTTTCAACTCATAGTAACCTAGATCAACCCCTTTGCACCAACTTGTATTTTCCAATCACTCAACAGACGCCCAAGTATAATTTCACCCTTTTCTCTTATCCTCCTCTATACTTATCCATTCCCTTCCCCTCTGCCTATGCCCTCCTCGCTTCCCCTCCCCTCCAGCTCTCCCCTCACCTCCTCGGGATGGTAAGAAGCTTTCTGTGAAGTTCCTCCTGCTCCCTGCGCTCGCTGCTGCTTCCGCCTCTCCTCTGTGCTCCCACATCCTGCCTGCATGATTCGGAAAAGAAGCAAAGCGGGGAGGGAGGAGGGGGAGTTTTTTGAGTCGACTAAAAAATGCTGCCGCCTCTCCTCTGTGCGCCCACATCCTGCCTGCATGATTCGGAAAAGAAGCAAAGCGGGGAGGGAGGAGGCGCGAGGGAGGGGGGGGAGGGGAGAAGGTGGGTTTTTGAAGCGCCTACCAACAGACTCTCCCGCCCAGCGCCCCCACATCCTGCGCGGACGGCGGAGGGCGGGCGGTGGAGGGCGGAAGACGGAGGATGGACCGCGGACAGCGGAGGGTGGAGGGCGCAGGGTGAGAGGCGGCTCGAAGTTAAGCGCGAGAGGCGGAGATTCGGGTTCGGGGTTTTACGGCGTCAATGGTTGAAAAAACCGCCGCCGGTCCCTGAATTACGGCACCTCTACCATATTCGGGTTCCGGGTTCGGGGTTCGGGCTTCTGGATCTACGCCGGATGCTTCTACAAATTGCAGTTACAAGGCTTCGCGGAACGCACAACTAGAAAGACAGGCAGAGAGCCAATATAGATAGTCTTTTTATGTGATGCTTTCTGTTCTTTGCGCTTCTCACCCATCAAGATAGATGATCTCGGCGTTGCCTCTTTGGGCGGCAAACTCCCGCCCTGCCAGCTCAGCAGTCGTCAGCAGCTCCTCCAGGTCGCTCTGATCCACCACCGACACCAGCGCCGGTTTCGCCGCTGCTTCCGCTGCGGCGATGACGTGGCGTCGGCCCTCGTCGGCGTTCTGAAACTCCGAGCCGCGGTTAAATCTATGGCGGATTAAAGACGAGCCCAGGCTCCCAGAGCCTCCTTTTTTCTTCGGCATCGCGTCTACGAGTCAAGTATGTGGTGTCAGCGGCGGGGAACGCGGCGATACAGGCTTAACGTTGAGCTACGGATCGCGATGCGGATTCACACACACCAGAATGAACAAAATCGATCAGCTACGGAATCAAAGATGGATTGAAGAAGCAGGATGAAGAGGCGACACCTACAACGAATTCGACCTGGAGGGTTAGGATTTGGGGTCCTGGGGATGAGAAGTGATTGGGGGGTTTGAAGGATGGATCATGGTGGGTTGACTCGTTTGAAATTGCTTCGCTTCCATATAATGTGAGATGTGTGTCGTACCGTGAAAAGCTCAAACTTACTGCCACTACATTGCCCAGCCACAATACCTAACTTCACAACGAACTAAAGCCTATTGAGTGATGAATCCATTGTAAGATTAGAGAATCAATTCGGTTAAATATCCCTTATTGTCATGTTCCTATCCAGTAATGTAACGTCAACTGAGAGGATTGACTAGCATGTAGACCTGTTAGAGTATCATACTCCAAAGGAACACCGTAACATGACATTTTCTTCCGTAACGAAGCACAGAACTTGGCTCGCGGGATTGGACACAATTTGGGATAGGTTCTGCTTGTACGCGTCAGTGGTAGGCAAGGTTCATCCGCCCGTCGCTTGGCATCCCACAGCCACAAACATACACAATTCCACGTGCAATCAGCCATCACGGTGCTTTCGAAGCCAAATTTCGCTCGTTCGCCTCACATCTGAGATCGCCTTCCTGAGATGGGGCCCCATTCGGCCCCATCCGACGTGGCCCCAAGCAACAGTTCACGAAACACGTGCCTGTGGCATGGCAGCAAAGTGGGGGTGAATGTGGACGTCGAATGAGTTGGCAGCCGAGGGTCGTGCGAAATTGCCTCACGTCAACTTCTGAAGTCTCCGAACGTCAGAACGACAGTCTCGCTAGACTGTCACGGGTTCCCAGTGGTGGCTAGCACCCGAAAACTTTTGCCGTTCCCTCCCAGGCCGTTTTCGACCGTCTCGTGGGTGCATGCGGCCATTGGGTAATGTCGCATGAACGTTTGCTGCTGACGCAGGTGAGTGGTTGCACCGACTCTTTGTTTGTTCTTCGCCCAATGCGACTCCCGTCGCATGGCACGTGTGGTGGGTGTGACCCATATCAATTCTGCCACGCTGGACCAATGGTGCTGCTCCCCCACGCTGCTCCCCCATTCGGCCCCATCTCAGGAAGGCGACCTGAACTCAACCTGGAAATTGGCGCCGCGTTGCAATCACGTCATGCTGGGGTGGAATGGATGGGCGACAAGGGAATATCGTGGCGACAGCCACTCGTTATGCCGGATAACCAGAATGGACCTGGGCTAACATCTCGAGCAATTCGCATTTCTGGGGCAAATTCACCCTTCACCGGGACAGCCGGTTGATTGCGTCCCAGACGAGTCGCGTGTGTGCTCGAAGAGGAATTTCTTGTTGGGCGACATGAATGGGACTTCGCTAGGGTGGAGTCTATAGGTGACCGAAGGTCGTCACCACTTCGCTCACCTCAGCATTCCTCTTCGTGAATCTTTCGTGAGAACCTTCCGAACCAGCCCAAACCACTAACAACCAGCGTGTGCTCACGATGAGAAACGCGATCCGTGACTCACCAAAGCTTCTTCCATACAAATACTCGAACCTCAGATCTTCTTCATCATCGATAACAATCGCCTCTCCAATCTCAGTCAATTCATTCGTTCGACAGCAAGAAGCTAACACAAGCAAGCCATGGCTCGCTCAATCGCCGTCGTCTTTGTGCTGCTCGCAGCTTTTGCCGCTGTCGCCAATGCCGCAGCTGGGGCTTTCACCTACGAGAAGAGCGGCATTGACTGGACGGTAGGGACCGAACGCATGTCCACCTAATTTCCTCACTTCTCCAATCGCCAAACAAAGAGCGATCGTAGCAAGCGTTAGGCCGCTGCCTTTTCGTTCTCATCCGCCGCAAAACTCTCACTGTGTGTGTCTCTTGATGATGACGCGCATTGCCTTCGCACTCACTCGAGCTTCCAATATTCGTCTGATGGCGATGTGCAGGGCGCGTGCGCGACGGGCGAGCGGCAGTCGCCGGTGAACATCGTGATGGACAAGGCGGTGCAGAGCAACAAGCCGGAGCTCTTCTCGCTCGAGTACGGCACCAGCAAGCAGGCGTCCGTCGTCAACAAGGGCTCCACCATTCGTGAGTTCCAAACTCAATTTCGTCCTCAATTCCAAATTCGGTTGATTCAACCACACATTCAAGAAATTGGGCGTGAAAGTCGACTTCGCTATTACGAATCTTTCTCGCTTCCCGATTACCCTAAGTGCCTTCCGATTCTCACTTACCATGTCTAAATCCAGACACTCACTCACTCACCATGTCTCACTTACGAATCTTTCTCCGCGCTGTTACTCCAGAGGTTATTCCCGCTCCGGAGGAGACGCACCTGCTGCACCTGGCCTCCGGCGACTACAAGCTGCTGCAGATGCACGTGCACACGTACTCGGAGCACGCGATCAACGGGCTCTTCGCGCCCATGGAGGCGCACTTCGTGCACGTGCACACGGCGGACCCGAAGAAGCTGGCCGTCGTGGGCGTGATGCTGCGCGTGCACCGCCACGACGACGACTCCGCGTGGGTCAACCAGTGGCTGCCGCAGGCGCCCCTCGAGAACAACGGGACGGCCACCATCTCCGTGACGCCCAAGTTCTGGAGCGAGATGATCGACGCGTCGTCCGGCTTCTGGGCGTATCCCGGCTCGCTCACCACGCCCGAGTGCGACGAGATTGTTTCGTGGCACGTGCTGCGCAAGGCCCAGCCGCTTTCCGTGGCGCAGGCGATTCAGTTCATGAACATTATGGCGGTTACCAACCAGGACCGCACCGACAACCGCATGCCCCAGCCGCTCAACGGCCGCACCATCTACTTCCACTACCCTGCTGCTGCCGCCAAGTAAATAAATGGCTGTTTTTTTTCGCGCCATGGTAGACGTGGCAGCCAAGCTAGTAGCTCCTACCTGGAATGGCTTGTTTTGATATAACTGGAAATAAATCTTGCTGAAACTCCGTGTCAAGCCTTTGAGCTCGATTAACCGAGACAAGGCATCCAATACTCTGCTTAAACCAAGACGCGGCATCCAATGCTCTGCTCAAACCGAGACACAGCATCTGCTCAAACCAAGACACGGCATCCAATACTTAGCTCAATCCACGACAAGGCATCCAATTCTCTGCTCAAACCATTCAAGGCATCGTACTCTGCTCAAAACATGTACAAGTCATCCAATTCCCTTCTCAAATCATGCATACCACCTGGCGTAGGTTCCACCTGCGTCTGTCCGTATGCTGTTTGACAGAGTGAATGGCTTGTTGTGATCATTCTTGATGCCTAAAGCTATATGCGGCTAGTTATCCCCCCGCCCTCCCCCAAATTGAAAGAATATCAGAGACTAGGCGTATCTCCCATGAAGACAAGTTAAAGCTGCCAATTTTCACTTCCTCCAAGTTACACTATGTACCTGCTGAGAGTTAGTGCTGTGCACATGCATTATTTCAATGTGCTCAAAAGAAATGCTTCATACTCTTAATCATTATTGCTGTTCTTCCAGCTGATTTTTGAGAATTAGATTAACTGCACACTGAAGTTCCGTTCAAGCGCTTTTATGCTGAATGCAAAATTATACTCGATTTTTGTTTACAAACCTCCAGCCATGCACTTCAAAGCATTCTCGGACACACCTCCTGCAGGGAGATGCGTCTTGCTGGAACGTTTCTGGGCTATTAATTGTTTTAAGTACATGTTTTGGGTTCTGCATAATATGCTTCTTGCATACCTGTTCTGGTTTGGTTGGGGAGCTACTACACTTTCAGCTAAATTTCGTTCACTCACGTCACATCTGAACTGAGCCTGGAAATTGGCGCCGCAGCGTGGTCACATGTACTTGGGTGGAATGGTGGGCGACTCGAAAATATTGTGGTGAGAGAGAGCCACTCATTGTGCGCGGTAACCAGAATGGATCTGGCCCAACGTTTTGAGCAATACCCATTTCTGGGGCAAATTCAGCCTTCACTGGCACAACCTCTTGGTTTTCTAACTCGAAGGCATCGCGTGTATGCTTGAAGAAGAATTTCGTGTAGGCCACTAGGGTTGGAAGTCGCAAAGGCATGATTCATTGGTGACGATGTCGTTGACGTCTCGTTCACCTCAGAAGTCCTCTTCGTGAACCTTTCGCGAAACGTTCTGAGGCAACCCCACCCACAAGCATGTACAACAGAAACGCGATTCGCGACACACAGCTCTTTCTTGCAATACAAATACTCGGACCTCAGCTCTCGAAACTTTCATTGCCGCAAGAATCGCAACTTCATTCCCAGCGCATCTCGGGACTCCTACAGCTAGAAGCAAACATCAGCAAGCCATGGCTCGCTCAATCGCCGTCGCCCTTGTGCTGCTCGCAGCTTTCGCCGCTGTGGCCAATGCCGCAGCTGGGGCTTTTACCTACGAGAAGAGCGGCATTGACTGGCCGGTAGGGACTGACCTCCGCATTGCTCAACATACTCCCGTCTCATTCTCCTCAGAATTCTCCAATTCCGAAACAATCAATAATCAAAGCACCGCCATAGGCCGCTCATTTCCCACTCTCTGTGTAGCCACAGCAGTCTCACTGTGTAGCGTCCTCACGCGTTGCCTTCGCACTCATTCGAGCTTCCATTCCAATGTTCCTTGGCTGCGATGTGCAGGGCGCGTGCGCGACGGGCGAGCGGCAGTCGCCGGTGAACATCGTGATGGACAAGGCGGTGCAGAGCAACAAGCCGGAGCTCTTTTCGCTTGAGTACGGCACCAGCAAGCAGGCGTCCGTCGTCAACAAGGGCTCCACCATCCGTGAGTTCCAATCTCAGCCCGCGCGGTGGGGGAAATTAGTGGTTTGCGGGCATGCTCTTCTAATTCACGACTCATTTGAAAGATGATTAGGTGCGATAACACTACCTCATAATCGAGTACTAGAAATTTGCGAAACATTTGTTGCTTCTCCGCCAGTTACTGTCGACGGTTAAAGCAATATCGACAACGGCCCTCCGAATCGTCCCAATCCCCCTGCCATCGTTCCATCCCCTTTTTCTCCGCTGCTTACTGCAGAGGTGATTCCCGCACCGGAGGAGACGCACCTGCTGCACCTGGCCTCCGGCGACTACAAGCTGCTGCAGATGCACGTGCACACGTACTCGGAGCACGCGATCAACGGGCTCTTCGCCCCCATGGAGGCGCACTTCGTGCACGTGCACACGGCGGACCCGAACAAGCTGGCCGTCGTGGGCGTGATGCTGCGCGTGCACCGCCACGACGACGACTCCGCGTGGGTCAACCAGTGGCTGCCGCAGGCGCCCCTCGAGAACAACGGGACGGCCACCATCTCCGTGACGCCCAACTTCTGGAGCGAGATGATCGACGCGTCGTCCGGCTTCTGGGCGTATCCCGGCTCGCTCACCACGCCGGAGTGCAACGAGATTGTTTCGTGGCACGTGCTGCGCAAGGCTCAGCCGCTTTCCGTGGCGCAGGCGATTCAGTTCATGAACATTATGGCGGTCACCAACCAGGACCGCACGGACAACCGCATGCCCCAGCCGCTCAACGGCCGCACCATCTACTTCCACTACCCTGCTGCTGCCGCCAAGTAAATAAATGGCTGGAGTTTTTCGTGCCATGGTAGGATGCGCTATCCAGAGTGTAGTTCCTGCCTTGCATTGCAGTCTTGGAAGAGCTTGTGTTGCTTTGTTCAAGAAAAAGGGTAAATTTGGCTCTTCGCTATGTAACCGAACCGACCAATGAGCTATTTCATGATAGACAATGCATCCGTACTCACACCGGTCGGGGTCCCTACTAAGAATGTCTAGACGTCGGATACCAACACTAAGTGAGTATGGGCGGAGGTTCCACCTCCACCTTGTGCCGTTTGCCTTTCTCCTTGTGCTGTTTGCAAGTCAAGTTTACCTAGAACTGGTGCTTAGCAGCTGTGTGCCCACCGCGATATGGCCATTGCAAGCATCCATCCCAATCTTCACTTGCCAATTCACCTAGTACTTGCTGAAAATGATTACTCTGCACTTTTTATGCTAGTACTTGCACTAGAGGTGCTATTTTGTAGTAGCCCTAAAATATCATGTTCCAGCTCTGGGTTGTGGGTAGTAGGTGGACATTGAGCTACAATTAGGCAAGTTCGGGATGGATACGACTAACCTCTAGGTCTGCCCGTTTCTCTGATCTTCTGGAAGGCTCATCGTGGCAGAAGATGTTTCTGAGTTTGATTTACAGGAAATGCTGTCAGATTTTAATGTTGAGTATAGACGTAGTTGCGTGCACGTTGAGCTAAATGAGGGGGTTTTGATTTATGAAGATTTAACAGAGTGCAAAAAAATATGTACAGACTAGGGTGTAGTTAGGTAGGGAATGATTTTACAAAACCTCGATCCTTCCCCTCCAAACCAATCTCTGACGCAGAAGCCGCCGGAAAATGCGTCTTGGCAGACAAAAATTTTCCATCCATTTGCCAACATGCGCCTCGATTAAGCGAATCGCGACTTGGCAGGACGATGCGCGATTCGAGACTCGTCAATTTTTCGCTCAAATGTTGCCACTGCACAGCGGGAATCTGAATCGCCTCTTTGTCGAATTCGCGCCCCTTTCTGCTTTGTGGGTTGGATTGGAAGTGGGCAGGTTTGCCCTGGGGAGAAAGTGAGATGGGATCTGTAATTTTGAGTTGTTGCAGTGGAGCGCCCCTTGCCGTTCTGACTTGCTCCAGCCGCATACGAGTTGGTAAAAAAACCAAATCACCATCTTGTGAGACTCCAAGCACGCAGCTGCTTACCTTCAAAAGGTGACGACGAGCAGGTGTCTACGCAACTTATTAGAGCGTTCGGCAGTCCAGGGTGGTAGGTAGGCAGTCCAAGCACACAACCATTCGTGCCAGCTGCAGTATCGCTTTCGACTAGGATTTTGGGCCCACTGAGCAGTGAGACTTAGCTCCAAGAGAATACATTATTTTTCTCCGTATTAACAGCAATCTGTTCCCCGCCGATAGTTACAACCATGAGGTGTATCATGAGACGCTCGAAAGCGTTGCTTTTGCTAATGTGCATCCTCACCGCGACGCAAGGTGCTGCAGCGTTGGGCGAGCTTCCGAATACGCCATGTGAGGGCGACTCCAGCCAATCCGCGCACTTCTGGTGGCCACGTGCTGTCCGCGGCCGAAGCGCTCTTGACACGGCAGATACAGGGAGCGACGTTTTTGCGGCGATGGAGACAGCAGCCGTGCCTCGGAAGCTCGGCGCGCAATGGGCAGCGCCATCCGCCGGCCCCACTTTTGCGGAAGTTCTCGCTGCGTCTGTCGCTACCCCTGGAAGCGCCGATCCCGCAGGGGCAATTACCGCCACGCCTCTTCCTGCTGCGCCTACTGGACCCGCCGCAGGAGCAGCCGATCCCGCGTCCCTACCGGCACCCGCTAAGCCCTCGGGACCCGTTACAGAGTCCGCCCCTTTAACTCCGAAGCAGAGCGGCCCCACGCCGAAGCAGAGCGGCACATCGAAGCAGAGCGGCCCCACTCCAAGGCAGAGCGGCCCCACACCGAAGCAGAGCGGCCCCACACCGAAGCAGAGCGGCCCCACGCCGAAGCAGAGTGACCCCACGCCGAAGCAGAGCGGCCCCACGCCGAAGCAGAGCGGTCCCTCGCCGAAGCAGAGTGGCCCCACGCCGAAGCAGAGCAGCCCCACGCCGAAGCAGAGCGGCCCCACGCCGAAGCAGAGCGGCCCCTTGCCTAAACCCGCTGCTCTTCCCTCCAATCCCACATCTTCACCCAAACCACTCGCGACCGTCCGATCAACTGGTAGCTCGCCGCTGGTAACGACCAAGGCCGTCAACTCGACTGGTGCAACCGGTAATACTACCGCGCCAGCAGGAAATAGCACCGGGTCAGCCGGGAACTCTACCGACACTCCCGGTACGCCGGCATATGCCGTGGGATCGCGCGACTGCCAGTACGGGCAACTCAAGCAGCTTCACTGGTGCGCCGTTGGATTCGCGCGGTCTGCCGGGATCCGCGGCGGCCAATGGCCGACATCGTCGTTGTACGAAGTTGAAACGGAAGATGACACGGTGGTGAACGGAAGGCCCGTGGAGAAATCGTTACGGTACGCGCTGATGAACTTCCCCGAGGGAGTGATCATCACGTTTTCGCGAAGCATGGAGATCGTGCTACAGAGTAACCTGTTCGTGCGTTCGCGAGTGACGATCGACGGGCGCGGCGTTCACGTGCGCATCACCAATGGCAGCATCGTCCTCCAAAACGTGAATGACGTCATCATTCACAACATCGAAGGTACGGTGTCGCTCTAGGTCTCTCGATACATTTTCGTACCTTTTCTTCCTCTCTTCCCCGTCCTCTTTCCTCCGATGATCACATCTCCGCCTCTTGCTCCTCTGTTATCACACGCTCAATCTCAGTCAAACTTCCCATGTCCCCTTTCTGCCTGCTTGTGTGCTGCGAATAATGTAACAGTGTCGGGTAACCCGCGCGGCGATTTGATACCCATCTACAACAGCAGCCGCGTGTGGATCGACCACTGCCGCCTGCAGGACGCGCTCACGGGCACGGTCGACGTGGCAAGGGGCTCCACTGACGTCACCATCTCGAACTGCTACATCAGCAGCCGCGGCCAGACGATGCAGGTAATGGCGTCACTTCGTCCCCGGTAGATGCACACATACCCCCTGGGGCTGACGATTCACTCTCAAATGAATAGCAGTCGAAAAACACGAAACTGCCCTTCTCGCTACCGTTCGCCACTTAATATACTTTTCTCCCTTTCTCCACCCTCTACCCCGGCCCTCCCTCCCATTTCGCTCTTCATCCCTGTACAGCTTGGCTTGTCGGACACGGAGGAAGCGGACAAGAATATGCGAGTCACCATCTACCGCAACTGGTTCAACACATCCGGCTCCATGCAACCGCTCTGCCGCAAGGGACGCTGCCACGTGGCAAACAACCTCTACACCCACTGGTCCTACTACTGCCTCGCCGCGCGCCGCGGCGCGCAAATCCGGTCAGAGAAAAACTTTTTCCGGCCAGCGCCGGGTTCGGCGCGACTGGAGGTGACGCCGTGGTATAGAGGCATGCCGGCCACAGATGTTTGGTCCGACGCTACCGTTACTATCGCGTCGTTCCAAGACTACTTGGCTGGAGGCGCGACGTTTAATGCGACGGCGTATGCCGGCCCCACTCCGATCTTCACGCCACCCTACACGCTGACGCTGCCGCGGAACCCGCGTCAGATGGCGCCTATTTTGAGGATCAACTGCGGTCCCAAGTACGATGTCGATTCGGCACTGCCCCCTGCTTCGGGACAGTTCCTTCCGCCTGCCCCGCCAACCCCATCCCCCGCTACTCCTCCTGCGACTGCGAACACAACTTCTACTGGTAACAGCACTACTGCTGGTAACAGCACTACCGGTGGTAACGGCACCATTACAGCACCGTCGACTCCGAGTTCGAACGACTGCCAGTATTCCCCTGCGGGTGCAGGAATCGCCCTTGGGAGTTGCGCGATGGGTTTCGCTGCTGCGGGTTTAGTTGGTGGCGCCGGTAAATCCACGTACGTGGTCACTCTAGAGGAGGATTCGACATCCGCTACGAGACAGGGTTCGCTTCGGTGGGGCATCTCGAATTTCTACAAAACTGGCGCTGTTATTACATTCGCTCAGGATATGACCATTCAACTTATGGCGCCGCTATATGTGAAATCGTTCATGACTTTGGATGGGCGAGGGGTCAACGTGAAAATCGTGGGAGACAGCCTGCTGGTGCAGCACTCAACTCAAGTCATCATTCACAACATTGAATGTAAGTCTTGGCCCACGCTTCACAGAATGTAAAATGCTTCTGATGCACCTCCATGCGTTCCTCTCTACCTCAATCCAGTGACATCCTTACCCATCGTCACCATTCCACTGAACTCCATTCGGAGCCACCTTTACTCAATCTATACCATTCTGTGCTTCTTTTATCCCTCTTTCCACAATCCATACTTGCAGTTGCCAGCAGCAGAACTTCCCCTGCAACCATCTCCCTTTACAACACTAGCAGCACTTGGATTGACCACTGCCGCTTCTCCAACCTCTCAGCCGCCCTCCCGGCCATTGAGCTCGCTCGTAACAGCACCGCGGTTACCATCTCCAACAATCTCTTCTCCGGCACGCTCGGCACGCAGACCGTCACTGCCTCGGCAAACCCAGGCTCGGGTACAGGCTCGGCGCTCCACCTGGGCCAATCAGACGGCGACAACATTAACCGCGATATGAACGTGACCGTGTACAGGAACTGGTTCCAGTTATTATCTGCAATGCAGCCGACATGCAGACTAGGCAAGTGCCACGTGGCAAACAATCTCTACACCAACTGGACTGGGAGCGCAGTGGAGGCCAGGGCAGCTGCTCAGGTGCTGCTGCAGAGCAACCTCTTTATAAGTGGACCCGATTCAGTACAAGTGGTGGCGAACACTACATCCGTTCCTCCAGGCATAGTTGCGGAAGCAGGTAGCAACACCACCAACACCACCAACATTATCAAGGCTTCACTTGGAGCAGCGGCAGATGCCTCTGGGACAGGTGCAGCTGGGGCAGGTGCAACTGCAGCTGCAGCTGTTACTGTAACCATGGGCCCTACAGTGAACGCCACTCAGGTGTTCACTCCGCCATACGACCTGCCTCTGGGGGATCCCAGCGCTCTGCTCTTTGCTGTCTTCATGAAACTGAACCCTGGTCCCCATGCCAACTGACCTGCCAGGAGGCATGCCAACTGCCATGGCAGCGCCCATAACAGCTGACCGGCAGGGGCCCATGCAAACTGATGCGCTGCCAGCCATGCCAACAGACCTGAGGTCCCCTCTTACGCACACCTCGGACTGCCCCGACTGACTCCTCTCTCCCCTTTCTTTCTGGACTGTTTGAAGGTGCTCCTGAATTTAGCAAGAGTGGATGCTGAGGAAGCTGCAGCTGAGGCTGCATGCAGGTAGGGTAGGAAGAAACGTTCTGTCAGCGCTTCGATGACAGTAGAGATGATTAGAGCAGTGTACGTTTAGACACGGAAACGCGTGGTTGATTTCCTCCATTGATGCAATTTGCCTGCACTCATACGACACCCCTGATTAAACCTTGGCTTACGAACGCGACCTAGCAAATTGCTGTTCGACTTTATCATTCCTCATCCCTTTTGAACTCCTCCATCCATAGATTCTCCTGATGATAACAATTGCAAGGCGTCAGCATGGCTTGTTGCCCTGGCAGATGGCAATGCATGGACTCTTCCTCCTGTACTAGACCTCACGCTTGTTGACCTCTCGATTGACGAGATGATGAAACGTTTGATCGCCACTTAAATTGTGAGAGAACTTGTATCGCCTATTTACTTATAAATGCACAAGAGAGCTCTTTTCAGCAGCTCCTGAGCCAGCAGCTTCTTGCCCATGCGATAGACCACACAGAGAGCCTCGTGCCGCTACACATGGGTGAGTTGTTGGGTGATACTACAACATACTTGCCTATTTACTACCTTGAATGCACGGGCCAACTCGTGTGAGCAGCTCTTGAGCCAGTAGCTTCTGACCCAGGCGATAGACCACACAGAGAGTTTTATGCCACATACTGCAGAGAGGAAGTATGAAGAGGGGCGAGGGAACATAGAGCAAGTCAGGCCACTGGAGTAGAACTTGTGTTAGAAGCCTTTGGCCCAGGCGATAGACCACACAGACAGTTTTGTGCGGCACGCTGCATGCCCAGATGCACACGCATTCAGAGGCACATGCATAATGCACAAGACAACTCGTGTGAGCAGCTCTTGGGCCAGCAGCTTCTGGCCCTGGCGATAGATCACACGGGAAGTCCTGTGACACATGCTGCATGCACGAAGGGGTGAGTATCACGAAGGGCAGGGGCACATAACACAACTCAAGTTAATGGAGCAGGAAATCGTGCTAGAAGCTTCTGACCCTGGCGGTAAACCACAGAGAGTCTTGTGCCACACGCTGCATGCACAGAGGTGCACGCATGCAGACAGGCAGATGCACGTTAGGTACTACCAGTCAAGCCATTGGAGTCGGATCTTGAGTGGGTAACTCGAACCTGTGCAGTGATATGCAGAGAGAGTCTTGTGCTGCGCGCGGCAAGAACACTAGGGGTCCCCATCCCCGTGCCCTGTCCCCCACACCACGCCCACCACACCATGCTCACCTCTTATCATGCTCATCTACGCCCGCATGAGCATTGAGCCATGCAGTGTCATCTTCAGCAGTCCCCGTGCCCTGCACCATGCTGTCATGCCTGCAAGACGAGGCATTGGGCAGGGGAAACAGTGGGGCAGGGTAGAGAGTGAGGGATCTCAGGAGAATGTTGCAGTGAACAAGTCACCACAGCCCTTGAAACACGACACGTGAACCTTGTGTGATAAGTTGATTTTTGAGTCAACTCAAAAATCGACTTATCACACAATGTTGCAGTGAACAAGTTACCATAGCCCTTGAAACACAAAACGTGAACCTTGACTCGTCACCCCTGTCCCATGACTCACCATCCCTAACCCCCGACTCACCGTCCCTGGCTTTCACGAGCCCTCACCGTTGCTGTAGCAGTTGTTGCAGCAGCAGCAGCGCCTGCGCATCTCCCTCTGCTGCCTCCCTCACTGCTTCCCCCGCGTCTGCAGGGCTTAGAGGCCCCGCCCCTGCTGCTGCCTTGCGCTGAATTGTGGGTGGGACGGGAATGGACAACTTCGGGGACATCTCGACATTGCTGCTTCTGCAGGGCACAGAAACGCCGCCACTACAACGAGTTGACTTTTGAGTCGACTCAAAAGTCAACTTGGTTCTACAAACATAGAAACGCAATCGCTACAGCTATTAGGCAATTGGGGTCGACAGAAAGGGAACCAGGTCGAGTCTGGATTTCGAACGAGTCAAGAAGCACATGATACAGATGCCACACATGCCATATATGCCACGTGGCACAGGCATACCGTACTCCACGTCAGCACCACGTACCTCCAGGAGTGCTGAGGTGGCAGCATCCACCTGGGATTCGGTGAGTGAGAGCACTCGCAGTGCTGCCATCATGCCAGAGGGAAACACATCCCCATGCTCAGACTCCTTCTCCTCCTCACCATCCTCCTCATTCTGCTCTCCATGCTGCTCTTGCTTCTGTTGCAGCACCTGCTGGCCCTGATTCTCATCCTGCCCTGGCTTTTCCTCCTGCTCCTGCTTTTCATCCTGCCCTAACTTTTCCTCCTGCCCCTGCTTCTCCCCTTGCCCCTGCTCCTTTCTACTGCTGGCAGATGAAGCACCAGCATACTGGCGAGCATAGTTGGGACACTTGGAAGAACGCGGAATGATCCATTGTAGAGAGAGGTCCTATAAGGGGGGACAGAGCATGATAACAGAAGTAGACGAGAGGAAGTGACTGGCAGCACAGGTGTTACAATCAAGTTTGAAAATGCTTTGAGACTTTTGTTTAAGAGGCACTGTGAATGGATCAATGCAGAATGCAAAAGAAAAGCCCGGGACCTGTATTATCAGTGGCTGACGTGCCAGTACCTGACTCGTTAGCAGCTGACTCGTTTATACCTGTACGGCCAAGAGCTGTAGCTTGGTGTCGGCGCATGGGTCTTCCCGAAGGTGAGCCGGAGGGTAGTTGAGCTGGTGGGCAACAGAGGGCAATGGAAGTGGGAGAAAAAAGAGGAGCGGTAAGAGGCGAAAAAGGCACAGGAAAAGGAGGTGAAAAGGCAGGCGAAGAGAGGAGGAGAGTGGACGGCAGAATGCAGGACGTGCGGATAGTGCAGCATTTTTGAGGCGCCTCAAAGGAAGGCAGAATGCAGGGCGTGCGGACAGTGCAGCAGAGGAGCAGGGGAGACGTGGGGGCGGAGGCATCTGGCGGATCAGAGGCATCTGGCGGATCAGAGGCATCTGGCGGATCAGAGGCATCTGGCGGATCAGAGGCATCTGGCGGATCAGAGGCATCTGGCGGATCAGAGGCATCTGGCGGATCAGAGGCATCTGGCGGATCAGAGGCATCTGGCGGATCAGAGGCATCTGGCGGATCAGAGGCATCTGGCGGATCAGAGGCATCTGGCGGATCAGAGGCATCTGGCGGATCAGAGGCATCTGGCGGATCAGAGGCATCTGGCGGATCAGAGGCATCTGGCGGATCAGAGGCATCTGGCGGATCAGAGGCATCTGGCGGATCAGAGGCATCTGGCGGATCAGAGGCATCTGGCGGATCAGAGGCATCTGGCGGATCAGAGGCATCTGGCGGATCAGAGGCATCTGGCGGATCAGAGGCATCTGGCGGATCAGAGGCATCTGGCGGATCAGAGGCATCTGGCGGATCAGAGGCATCTGGCGGATCAGAGGCATCTGGCGGATCAGAGGCATCTGGCGGATCAGAGGCATCTGGCGGATCAGAGGCATCTGGCGGATCAGAGGCATCTGGCGGATCAGAGGCATCTGGCGGATCAGAGGCATCTGGCGGATCAGAGGCATCTGGCGGATCAGAGGCATCTGGCGGATCAGAGGCATCTGGCGGATCAGAGGCATCTGGCGGATCAGAGGCATCTGGCGGATCAGAGGCATCTGGCGGATCAGAGGCATCTGGCGGATCAGAGGCATCTGGCGGATCAGAGGCATCTGGCGGATCAGAGGCATCTGGCGGATCAGAGGCATCTGGCGGATCAGAGGCATCTGGCGGATCAGAGGCATCTGGCAGGGCAAAGGATTGTGATGTGGGGCAGAGGGGAGGTTGCGCATACCATGAGGCACTCGTGGGGGTTGTTGGGAATGGCGAAGCCATAGAGAAACAGAAGCTCCTGGTGTGACAGGGTGGTGGACGGGAAGGTGGCGAGAGGAAGGGAGGGAAGGTGGGAGTGAGTGAGGGAGCGTGTTCCTGCCACATTGATTAAGGAAGCATTCAAATGCATATTGCTTTACCCAGACTGGACGGCTAGCACCTTCCTCATTTACCCCCGTAGATAGTGCTACCTGCTACCTATAGCACCAAATCACTATTTTGAGACGTCTCAAAACACGCTACCTATAGCACCAAATCACTGCTTTGAGACGTCTCAAAACACGCTACCTATAGCACCAAATCACTGCTTTGAGACGTCTCAAAACACGCTACCTATAGCACCAAATCACTCTCAACAGGTTACCCCGTACATTCGAGTACCAGATCGTTCTCACCTCGTTGCCCTTCTCCCCGTAGCTGATGGTAACCTCGTCGCCCCCTACAGGAGGCACCACTGCAGGGCGGTGTGGGTGTGAAATGGGGGTGCGGAGAAGTGTGATGGAGGACGAACAGATGGGCGGCTTTGATGATTTGAATGAGAAATGGCAGCTTCCAATGCTGCTCTGCCAGTTTACACGTTTAAGATGCAATTCAGCGAAACTCACTTTCTGGGAGTATCACCTTGCAACAAGCACACAGCATCAGAGTTGGCCATCAGTTGAACTGGCTGTGAGACTGACGCTAAACCTGCCACTGCTCCATCTCCTCTTCCTTTGTCTTTTCCCTTCCCACACTCTTCTTCCCCACTGCCATTGTTCCCAGGTGAGTGGGTGAGCTGGTCAGCTGTGAGGACCTCCCACCGAGCACAGGGGAGAAGGGCTGAAGGACAGGACAGAAGATATGGGAAGGAAAGAGACCAGGGGAGAAGAGAAGGGTCAAACAGGACAGTGTCAGCTCAGGGGGGTTCAGACTTGATATAGTTTCACAGTCAGCGACCACAAGCTGTAAGTGGCAGGGCAGATGATTTGATGCACAGCGATTGCAGAAGTCAACTCCCGGGACAATCACCTCTAGACTGTGTAACAGGGATGACGCTGAAGTGGCGTCAGCAGCAGCAGCAACAGAATTGTCAGCATACAACTGTGGCGAGAACTGAGGAGGCAAGGAAAAGGAGGTGACCCACAGTGATTGCAGAAGTCAACTCCCGGAACAATCGCCTCTAGACTGTGTGATAGGGATGACGCTGGAGTGGTGTCAGCAGCATCGGCACCATCGGCAGCAGGATCAGCATCAGCAGCAGCAGCACCAGAATCAGCGGGAGAACCAGAATCAGCACCATCAACATTGGCGTAAGCAGCAAGGCAAGGAGTGAGAGGGAGGGTGAGCGCTCGCGACCAGAAGATGGAATTAGCCCTGAATGAAAGGGATGGAATCCCACAGGGACGTAAATGCACAGGATGGACAGGAGAGAAAAGGGTGGAGGGAAGGGGGGAGAGAATGGTGGAGAGAAGGCACGGATGGGCGGTTGGGGAGAGAGGGGATGGGAAAGGAGGGGGAAGGAGGCGTTTGCCCAAAGCAATGGGCAAGTTGAAGGAGAGGAAGAGAGGCATTGGCTGCTTCTGAGTCGACTCTAAAAGAGAGGAAGAGAGGCATTGGCTGCTTCTGAGTCGACTCTGAGAGGAAGAGAGGCATTGGCTGCTTCTGATTCGACTCTAAAAGAGAGGAAGAGAGGCATTGGCTGCTTCTGAGTCGACTTTGAGAGTAAGAGAGGCATTGGCCAGTGGGGGGAGAAAGTGAGAGGCGGCAAGCGGAAGAGGGCAAAGAGAAACAGACAAGCTTTTGCAGTCGTACCAGAGGAAATCTTCCAAGGAAATGCAACTGGAGGCATCTCCACTATCCCGCCCAGCCTCTGCTTCAGCCACCACAGCAGAAAAGATCGGCTCCACCTGCTCCTCGTACAATTGCCTCAAGTTGGCCCTCTGAAGGTGAGGGAGGATTTGGAAACACGCAGATAGAGAAGACAGAGTTGGACGTGTTGCGGCTGTGGCATTGTCTAGACCACCACAGCAGAAAAGATTGGCTCCACCTGCTCCTCGTGCACTCGCCTCGAGTTGGCCCTCTGAAGGTGCAGACGCATTTGGAAACACATGCCCAATGGGTTGTTGCGGCACTCTCTAATCAGTCAGCCCACCGCAGGCATAACAAATGGTTCCATCCGCCTGCTCCTCTTCCAGGGTTGCATTGCAGTCTGCACTCTTACAGGGTTACACTTGCCTTTTCCATTCATACAGATTCACGAGTGCCCTCCGCACTCATGCAAGTTCACGATTCAAGGCTTACCTGCGCACATGCAGCGTCGTAGAGAGGAGTGCCTTGCAGCTCCTCCAGTGTGGCCTGGTCGAACCACTGAGGCGAGTCGAAGCACTGCGGCAGGCAGGAGAGGTAGCTGCAGGCAGGTGCGTGGGGCGGAAGAGAGGAACAGGCATGCGTGGGTTTGTGGGCGTGGTGAGAAGGACGAACTTCCCACCTCGCAGCTCCTCCAGTGTGGCCTGGTCGAATCACAGAGGCAATTCGAAGCACCGTGGCAAGCAGGAGAGGTAGCTCCAGGCAGGTGCATGACGCGGGCCACGGGGAAGAGGAAAAGGCGAGGGCAGGTTTATGCGAGAATCAAGCACGACGCGAATTTCAAAGGGGAGCCACCTCTCCTGTGCTTGGTGTATCCACTGACAATCCCTCAGAATTCTTGAGAACCCTGAGTTGAGTCAGGCTGTTGGGGACTTACGGAGCCCAGAGGGAGAGGTCTCTGTGGCAACATTGCATTGCAGCACCAAGCTATTTTGCTGAAATCCTCGACTGAAAGCCTCACCAAGGACTTACGCAGCCCAGAACGATCGTTCTCTCTGGTGGCAGCGGTGCAACAGCAGCAGGAGGAGCACGAGCATGCGGTGGTCAAGCAGGCCTTGGTTGGGAGTGCAGGCAGGGCAGAGAAAGAAGGGATCCGAAGAGTGGCATAGAAGCACTTACGGAGCCCAGAAGGAACGTTCTTTCTGGTGGCAGCGATGCAGCAGCAGCAGGAGGAGCACGAGCATGCGGTGGTCAAGCAGGCCCTGGGAGTGCAGGCGACGCAAAGAGGCGCCATAGATGGGGTCTTGCAGGGTGGTGGGCGCGGAGAGGAGGAGAGAGAGCGGCACAGAGATGAGGACTTGATCTGCAAGTGTGTGGGATGACGTAGGGGGGGGGGGGGGTGGCGTAAGGGGAAAGCGTGGAAATGGGAAAAATGGGGGGAGTGGGAGTGAGGGTGTGAGCATGCGGGCCCTGGGAGTGCAGGCGGCGGAGGGAGGCGCCGTAGAGAGGGTCTTGCAGGAAGGAACGTGGGCGCAGAGAGGAGGAGGGAGTGACTTCTGAGTCGATTCACGTATGAAATGGAGTTAAAACAGAAAGTTAGAAGCAAGGAGTCGCTGGCGGTGGATTGGAGGTCACAGAATGCACAGGTTTACTGTTGAATTATAACATATTCGCGAAATTCACATAAGGAGGGTAACGTGGACGGACCTCCATCGACGGTGTGCGTTCTCTCATCCGTATCCGAACTGGACAGGAAAACGCCAAATCCAGATCTGGCTGACGCATGGTCACCCGTAAGAAGCCCCCGTTCTCCAGCTTCAGCTTCACTCTCTCTGGTTGCTGCGGTCTCAACTGCTGCGTCGCCGGCACTACCGATCGCTGCGTTGCCTGCACGAGCACGCGATTCGCTCGCAAACGCTGCGCGACCACAGGACGTATCATCCCCTGGACCGCGTGAGTCAGTCGTAACGATTGTCGATTCACACGATACGAAGGCGAATGACAAGACGGGTGGCGAGGCTTTCGAAAAGCATTCACGAATTTCGCAGCCGGAAATCCGAGCGCCGTGTTCCTGAAAAGGAAACGAGCAGGATTAGCACCAGGGGAAGCAATACGCGTCTGTCGGTGTCGGGATATCGTTTGGACTCAATGCCGAAGCGACTGGCCACCGACGCAGTGGATGATTCACCTCGAGCCATGTCGTGAGAGCTGAATTCATGGCGGGAAACGCAGCGCTTGCAAACGAGACCTGGGTGCATTCAGCGAAGGTGACAAGGCATGACAATGGTTGCTGCACTTTCTGAAGTGCCTGACCTTGGGACTGCCACTAAGTCAAATCCGTTGTCCTCGACATTGGCTTCCGGATGATTGTCATACGTCAGACATTAGTTCAATACGTCATAGCTTTTACAGAGATATAATTTTACGAAGACCTAAGTTGAATTCACTCCCACCCACTACGAGATAATTGTTGACGTCCACTCAGCGATGGCCAAGTCAGCTTCCACGTCCTTCGGATTTCGCAGGAAAATATCGAATCACAGAGCTCAAACGTCCCAGCTTGCCGCCGCACCCGTGCATTCAAAAAGCGGCATGTGTCCACTCCCAGCAAAAGGGGCAGTGGACCACGAAAAGAGGCAGTACACGTGCGCAAAATGTAACACCATCACTTGCGCCAATAGCACTCAACGCACACGCAGTTCCCTATGTGATCGGGTCGCCTGATCGCATTCGATAATGCTCCGTCCTGTGGTTACAGGGCCGTAACATTGCATGTGAGCCGTTCGATGCACTGACTGCACCTCTAAGCAATTCTTGGAATTCCTGCTTGAATGGAAGCAATTCGGGCGAGGCCGAGTCCCATCGGAGGCATTCTCAAGAGCAGGTATATCTCACAGAACTGGTGTCCTTTTCTTCAGTAAACGCACTCGATACTTCTGTTGACGTCCACCTTTCTCCACGTTTTCCGCGAACAGACAACCAGTCGATCGTGACAATGGCGACCGCGATCTCCCTCTCAGCACGCGTGCCTACCGTGCTGAAGGCATCTGAGGAGAGGACTGTTTCCGAAGCCAGCAGTGCCACTGAGCTGGTAAGCCCGATCGAGACATACCTTATTCATGCGGTACAACCTCTGTATCAAACCTGCGTTTTTTCGCGCGCGTTCTTCGCTTCTGTTATCATCATTTGGTATTCTAACATGTCTTGTTGTCGCCTTA